TGTCTAAAAATAAAAACAATCTATTCAAACCCCTATAAACACTGATTTCTATATTAAATTTAGCAAATGACAGTGTGAATTTTTAATTTTTCTTTCGCTAAATTAAAATAAATTTAAAGTTTATATAAAAAAAAACCGACCCTAAAGTATCTTACCCATTATTTAAAAAAAAAATTAATTCATGAAAAAGTTAAAAATAATAATAATAAATTAATAAATTAATTAAGTTTTCAATTTGGCAGCCACTACCTACAACTACTCAAAAATAAATATATATCTTTTCAAGTACTCTACCATCCCAAGAAAAAACCTAACAGGAGACTTTACTTCGCACAGTTTAAAAGAAGCGTACAATTCTCTTACACACACACACCATCTCCCATTTCTAAACCAGCCCATCTATATATTCACACCCCTTCATTCACTTCATTCTTGCACATCCGACACGGGCAGAGACTCATCAGAAAACGAAAACAATAATGGCTTGCGGAAGCTCTGCTCATACGTCGTCGTTCCTCACTCTTCTCTTTCTTTTCCTTTCGGGTGTTCTAGTTCGCGGGCGCGACCCATTTGGGTGTGACCCGACAGATAAAACGACGAACAACTTGCCGTTTTGTCGGACGTCGGCGCTAATATCGGAGAGAGTGAATGACCTGATCGGACGGTTGACATTGCAGGAGAAAGTTAGGCTGCTGGTGAACAATGCTGCGGCGGTTCCACGGCTGGGAATCAAAGGGTACGAGTGGTGGTCTGAGGCTCTTCACGGAGTATCAAATGTGGGCCCGGGGACAAAGTTTGGCGGGGCCTTCCCTGGGGCCACTAGCTTCCCTCAAGTGATCACAACCGCTGCTTCGTTCAATGCTAGTTTGTGGGAGGAAATTGGACGGGTGAGAATTTTTCTTAAATTTTCGAAGTAAATTTTATATTTTATTTATTTTTTAAAAAAGTTTTATTAAGTGAGAAGCAACTTGTTTTTCGGGAGGGTGACCAAACATATCAGCTTCCAACAATTTACAGAATAGCAGTTATCTTCTATATACTATTCCCTGATTTCCCCGGTCGGTTATAGGCACGGTGAACCCACGGAGCTCTCTAATTGATTCATATATATATATATATATATATATATATATATATATATACTAACACATATATTATAGTTTACCAAAATATACTGGAATTACAGTTTACCAACATATACATTAATTTTATAATGTTAAAAGAAAAGCAACCATAGCATCCACCAACTTGGTCAATAATTATAAATGGTATTTTTGATGAGATAAGAGTGGGGAGCCAAGAATTTAGTGGTCAAGTTCGCGCATATTTTATTCGAGGAAAGTGCAGTGATAGGCTTAAAAAGTTAAATGCGCAGGTTGTGTCAGACGAGGCTCGAGCCATGTACAACGGAGGCATGGCGGGGCTCACATATTGGAGTCCTAATGTCAACATTTTCAGGGATCCAAGGTGGGGTCGCGGACAGGAAACACCCGGTGAGGATCCTGTACTGGCCGGTAAATATGCTGCTAGCTACGTCAAGGGGTTACAGGGAGATGACGGTAACCGGTTGAAGGTTGCCGCCTGTTGCAAACACTTCACTGCGTATGACCTCGATAACTGGAATGGAGTTGATAGATTCCACTTTAACGCTAAGGTTTGTTTGTTTCTCTTTTATTTTTTATTTTTTATTTTTTTCTGGTCCGCACGTGCAGACTTTTTCTCACGTGCGAACCGAGCTTCTTCCCAGGTAAGCAAGCAGGATATCGAGGATACATTTGATGTGCCATTCAGGATGTGCGTTAAGGAAGGTAAGGTTGCAAGTGTGATGTGCTCTTATAATCAAGTCAACGGCGTTCCCACTTGTGCTGACCCTAATCTCCTGAGGAAGACCGTACGCGGAGTTTGGAACCTCAACGGGTAAGATTTTGACACGTCATCATCTGATCATCCAGTCATTTGACTACGTTTCCTAGATCGTACTAATTAATCAGCGGTTGACACGACAGGTACATTGTGTCAGATTGTGATTCTGTTGGTGTGTTCTATGAAAACCAGCATTATACATCGACCCCTGAAGAAGCTGCTGCGGATGCTATCAAAGCAGGCTAGTAATTAAAATTACCCATATGAATAAATTGTTCAAATAATAAAAACCCCATTATAATTAATTATTATAATAAAAAAAAGAGTTATTAATTTTGTAATAACGAACTGAATTTTCAGGTTTGGATTTAGACTGCGGACCATTCTTAGCGGAGCACACGGAGGATGCAGTGAAACAAGGGTTGTTGGGCGAGGCCGAGATAAACAATGCATTGAGTAACACGCTGACGGTCCAAATGAGGCTCGGAATGTTTGATGGGACGCCATCAGCCCATGCATACGGGAAACTAGGCCCAAGAGATGTGTGCACTCTGGCCCATAAAGAACTAGCCCTTGAAGCCGCCAGACAAGGCATTGTCCTTCTCAAGAACCATGGTTCCTCACTGCCTCTATCTCATCGGCGTCACCGCACAATCGCCGTCATCGGTCCCAATTCCAATGCCACCGTCACCATGATCGGAAATTATGCTGGTAAGTATTAAACCCGTGTGTTTATCTAATTGAAAAATCAGGTTTGGTGCTTATTCCGTTTGGGTATTAGGTGTTGCGTGTGAATATACAAGTCCCATACAAGGGATAGGGAAGTACGCGAAGGTAATTCATCAAATGGGCTGTGGTAATGTAGCCTGTGGTGATGAAAACTTGTTCGATGAAGCCATTGATAGTGCACGTCAAGCTGATGCTACGGTTTTGGTGATGGGACTTGACCAGTCCATTGAAGCAGAGTTTAAGGACAGAACAGAGCTGGTTTTACCTGGTCACCAGCAAGATCTTATCTCTGAAGTCTCTAAAGCCTCAAAGGGTCCAACCATATTAGTTTTAATGTCCGGTGGACCTGTTGATCTCTCATTTGTAAAGAATGATAAGTTGATCTCTGCCATTTTATGGGTTGGGTATCCTGGTCAAGCCGGAGGAGCCGCCATTGCTGATATCTTGTATGGAGAAACAAACCCAGGTTTTTGAAAAGAGCAAAACCCAAAGTTAAACCTAATTAATTCCTTCTTATCTCTCAATTATCTAACGGTAATTTATATCTACAGGAGGGAAATTGCCAATGACATGGTACCCACAAGAATATATCAAGAATTTAGCAATGACAGAAATGGCAATGCGTTCAAGCCCTTCAAAAGGGTACCCAGGAAGAACATATAGGTTTTACAAGGGACCTGTGGTTTACCCATTCGGTTACGGACTCAGTTACAGCAACTTTGTCCACACCATAGCCAACGCGCCCACCGTCCTCTCAATCCATCTCCACGGCCGCCACGGCTCGCAAAACGGCACCGTTTCGGGCAAGGCGATAAGAGTGACGCACGCGAAATGCAGCGGGCTGTCGTTAGGAGTTCAAGTAGAGGTAAAGAACACAGGTTCTAAAGACGGTTCTCATACGCTGCTAGTTTTCTCCACGCCGCCGGCCGGTCACTGGGCGCCGGAAAAACAGTTGGTGGGGTTTGAGAAAGTGCAGGTAGCCGCCGGCGGCCGGCGAGTAGTTGAAATGAATATTCATGTTTGTAAGTATCTGAGCGTTGTGGATAGATCTGGGATTCGAAGAATTCCATTGGGCGAACACCATCTTCATATTGGAGGGATTAAACACAGAGTCTCGCTGCAAGCTGCAACTCTGGGAATAATCAAGTCGTGAAATTTATTTCTATTAATTGTTTAAGAGATTATGGAATTTTCTGTTCCTGGGAGAAATTTGCTTCTGGGTATTTTGATTACTTGTTAGCAGTGATGCAATTGTAGGTTATAGATTGATGAGGTTATTTTATACAATTGATTGGTGGAGTTATACCATTTAGTAACAAATAATTCAAATTACACAAGTGAATGAAAATTGTAATGACATGAAAAAAGAAGTGTAATAAATTGCATTATTCAATTTGATATTTGCTAAACAGTTAATTATAGCTAATATTATATCTAATAAAAATATATGAATATTTTATTTTTATTTTTATTTTTTACTTGCAAATTACAATTTTATTTTAATTTTTATTATAAACAAATAGCGGCCCATTAATTCCATAGATTTAAATAATAATAAAAAAGCCCACCCCTACCCAAAATCCCAAAAAGGTAGCACGTCGTTCCTTGGTACGTCTCAATCAAATATCTGTCCCTTCGCCAAAATAAATGCGGTTCAACAATTTAGAATCTTCGAAATTTTAGTTTTTTAATGTATAAAATTTAATTACAAACTTTAAAATGTATAAAAATATTTGTGTATAAAGTTTGAACATGAAAAACTTTTCTTTATTATTATTATTATTTTCTAACAAACATCTTGTTTCATTCATTTTTCAAATGTTAATTTCATTTTAAAATATCACACATATTTTTACATATAAATATACCGAACTATAGAAAATAAAAATAAAGAAATAATTTTACGTACCAAATGCAGCCAAAAATTCAAACTTCAAATTTTTTACTTTTACTTATTCGATATTTCTAACATTCATTAAGCAATATGACATTAAGATTTAAAATCTAAAAATTCATGTATCTGATGTTAAAGAGAATCGAATAAATATTAATATAACACAAATTTTATTTTAAAAAATCATAATTCAAGAGAATATTATAATAAGTAATTAAGTATTGTCGGGATAAACATAACAAATTAAAAAAACTAAAGATAGAAAAGAAAATCCAAGTTTTGATTATGCAAAATAATTTTCTTAAAATAAGACAAAAATAAAAAAATAAACTAAGGTATGCTCGTAAATTTATAAATGAACAAGGTAAGAAGCATGAAGAATCCCATAATATGGACTCTTATTGTATAGATCATGAATAGCTCAAAATAATGATTTATGATTTAAGGTATAAAGTTTAATGTTTAGGGGTTTATCGGTTCATGTTTAAAGTTGTAGGATTTTATGGTCTATAATTTACAGTTTAAAATTTAGAGTTTTAAGATTTAGAGTTTATGTTTATAGTTTAGAATGTTTAGAATTTAGGGTTTTGGGTTTAAGATTTTAGTCTTTAGGTCTTAGGGTTTAGGTTTTCATATTTAAGGTCTAAAGTTTAAGATTTAAAATTTTGTGTTTTAAAGTTTTTGAGTTTATATATTAGAGTTTACGATTTAACAGAATATGTAGAACTTAAAGTTTAGAGTTTATTTAGGATTTATGGTTTTATGATTTAAGATTTAAAGTTTTGGAATTTACAATGTTCAGGATTTTTAGAGTTTATGATTTATTATTTAGAGTTTAAGTTATAGGATTTAGGTTTAAAGTTTGAGGTTTAGGATTTAAGGTTTTGGGTATTTGGTTTGATGGTCTTAGATTATGAATATAAGCTTGAAAAGAAACAGTAGATTCTTTTCACAGTAAGTAATTTGAATTTAACATAATCTAGCAAAAACCAAAACAGAGTCTTGTATGTGTAGTAATTGAGTCACGACACAACATTAAATTAAGCCACCCAAAAGAGAATCAGAAACGATACTTACGAGCACCGGAACCATTGCAAGGA